CCGATTTCGACAACAACAAGTACACAACGTTTTATAACTCGTACGCACAATTCCAGACAATGTATTACGGTCGTAAAGACCTCTATCCTTTATTGGACTATATAAATTACAAAAAAACGTGGACCTATAGTCGTGATTGATTGTTCTAAACAAAACANTAGTCGTGATTGATTGTTCTAAACAAAACGACACCGTCAAGTCTTCAACGGTTGATCTACGCTTGGATTTCGAATGCTCCAAACAGTTTCCCGATAAAACATCATTGTATTGTGTAATTCTTCACGACTGTCAAATGGAATACAACGCATTCACGGGAGAAGTACGAAAACTTTAATGTAAATACATGTTTTATTTTTTATATTATACAATTTACAATATAGTATAGAAACTAAAAAAAAAATGTATAAATATATATAATTTTTTTTTTTTTTTTAATAAAAAAACTAGTTGTTTTGTAAACTTGTTATTTTATTTCAATCATCTTCGAATTTGACTGGAAATTGACTGATCTTTCTTGTCAATTTTTGGCATAGTATCTATTGCTAGAAATGATCTGTTTGTAGCCAATTCCACCAGATTGGAGAAGTAATAAACACGCAGAAAATTTTTTTTTAAGTTTAAGTTTTAAGATAAAAAGAATCAAATATTTTTAAACACACTTTCATGTGTTTTCATGTTTTCAATGTTTTAAAACAATCTATACATTGATGAATCGATCAAGTCGTTGATTTTATTGAATTTACACCTTGGTGTAGCCATTGTGATTAAAGTCTCAAGGTCCAATAGGCTTTACTGTCGCTGCGGTTCGCATTCGTCGTCTTTTCAATTGTTTCGATTGAATCCAAAAGTTCGTAATATATTCGCTTCACAACTGAGCATGCACATTCATGATTGTCCGAATTTTTTCCCATATCCGATAATTCACAACCTTTGTAATGTAAAAAGTCTCCACCTACACCGTTGACTTTATCGCCTAGACGTTCTGCAAAATATTGTAAATCTCGATAATTTTTCAATAGTTTACTAACTAGTTTGAAAACTCTATCCGTCGGATCGTTTTCAACAAGAAAATTCAATTTATCCGATATATCATTGAAATAATCCATCTTGCGCACACAATAGATTAACAAATACTGAGAACCTATTAGAAGTCAGCATACAATGTTATGCTGCTGCCCCCTCCCTCCTCCTTTCCGAATATCTTTTAGATAATTATTTCGTGATAACGGATGAGGCGTGTACGACAAAGATATTAGAATATTACTAGATATAATAGATAGCTAATATATACGTTTTAATTATTATAATTATAATATAGTTAAATATCGTTATTTATAATGGGGTGAAAATTAAAGTGAAATGTTTACACATATATGTCATTAGGATTTAAAACAGATGCCTTTGTAAAAATTATGACCGTCTGCCGTCTCTAATGCGTTGACGGATGAAGAATGCAATCCTTCCAGTCGAAGCTATTATTTTATTAAAAATAATTTATTACAGTTGTTAAATACGGTAATAATTTATAACAATGGGAGGGATACCAGTAATAATTCAGACAAAATATATATGTACGACATTAATCGATAAGTATAATACAGATTATAATAATATTATAAACATTATAATATATATGTTC